ACGTACAAATCATGGTCACAAATCTACAGAATTTACATTTGTTGATAATTTATTTTCAGAGGAAAAAATATTATCTAAAGATCATAATAGTGAGAGCAACCAGTGGCATGAATGGACTGCCATATATAGTTAAGTCCTACTTAAAGTCGATCTTAGTCTTTGTGAAACACTCCCCTGGTACATGTTGGTGTTGAGCCCCTGCTAATGGCAACCGTTGTTGTTCTTGCATTCAGCCTATATGGGAATAAGATAATTCAGTAGTCTATGGAACAATTCTTAATACATTGCTATCAGTACCTTCCATGTGACAAACATTCACAATGTTGTATGTTACACGATGCTATCAGTACCTTCCATGTGACAAACATTCACAATGTTGTATGTTACACGTTGCTATCAGTACCTTCCATGTGACAAACATTCACAATGTTGTATGTTACACGATGCTATCAGTACCTTCCATGTGACAAACATTCACAATGTTGTATGTTACACGATGCTATCAGTACCTTCCATGTGACAAACATTCACAATGTTGTATGTTACACGATGCTATCAGTACCTTCCATGTGACAAACATTCACAATGTTGTATGTTACACGATGCTATCAGTACCTTCCATGTGACAAACATTCACAATGTTGTATGTTACACGATGCTATCAGTACCTTCCATGTGACAAACATTCACAATGTTGTATGTTACACGATGCTATCAGTACCTTCCATGTGACAAACATTCACAATGTTGTATGTTACACGATGCTATCAGTACCTTCCATGTGACAAACATTCACAATGTTGTATGTTACACGATGCTATCAGTACCTTCCATGTGACAAACATTCACAATGTTGTATGTTACACGATAGCAACTACATTTGAAAAACCAACCTAAGGCACACTAGCCCTGTGTGAAATGCACCCACATCACATAGACGTATTATATAAGCCGAACATGATTTCTATGCTACATACAATTGGGTATTGCTCTTAATTATTTTTTTAAATAGTTGCTCTCTTGTTGTGTATGCACCCTTTACTTTTTAAGCAAGGAATACAAAGATGTTTTCTAGACCAAAGTTGTCTACCACTAGCTATCTTCTGGGACGAGATATCTACCAACAGCAGGAAAGGTTTAAGAATGTAAGTTAGTAAAGGTCATGCAGTTGCATTGAAACAGAAACTGTCTAGAAACAATTTTAGAAAGGAAACTAAATTTAAGTTGCTATGTTAATTTAGAAACTTATTAATGTTGGACCTCGGTCTCACCAGCAAGACCTACAACAGAGTAAGCATCAAATACATTGCTGCCAGTGGAAAAAGTGGTTTGGATTTGATCTTGAGTCGGTTTGGTAGAGTGACTGAGATATGATGGTGGTAGCACCCGTCAATATACTTGCTAAGCAAATAGGTGCTACATTTAATGTACATGGGAAATATTTGCTTATTATATATATATATATATATACCTACTCATATGCAATTAGGAGCTGTTCATATTTTGGTACCCCTTCTCTCTCTCTCTCATCTGTCCCCCCTCTCTCGTGCTCTCTCTCTCTCTCTCTCTCTCTCTCTCTCTATCTCAATTTCCCTGTCTCTATTTCTCTCTCTTTATCAATATACTTATCTATCTCTTTATCTCTCTTCAAATCTTCTCTCTTCTTTCACTGTCTTTATGTTTTTCTATATTTCTCTCACCCTCTATCTAACTTATTTCCTATTTGTGCAAAAAAGAAATGATGGGTGGATCGTAAAGTGTGCTGATTACTTTCTCTGCATGGCTAGTTAAGCGAGGCATTGGCTTGATTATCTTTCCGTGTCGTGTGTATATATGCTCGGCCGGCAAAGCGGGGAACTGTCATCTTGCGCTCTCATTTGAAGAGCAAGGGGAGAAATGGTGGAATTGGAGGCTGTGAAAGGTTATGCTTGAAATGGGGGAAAGGCTCATTAAAGATAAAGTTGAGTACTGGTCAATTACAGACACTGCATGGAAGCAATTCAGAAGGGTTGATAATTGAGTACATAAGACCATTATGCATACTGTGATGTCTTGGAATGAAAATTGAAAGAATTTCACTCTGTCTTGCTTTACATCACATGCACTGTACAGAGTACTTCATAATTTAGGATTTCCGTTAAAAAAAACACCAAAATTCAGCTAGTTCTTGCAATAGTAATGAAATGTGAAGGCATTTTAAGGGCAGTTAGTTTCAGCGGACATATCTTTTGTGGTTCCTTTCAAACTAGCATACAAAGAGGGAGAAAGTTGACAAGTTTTTGTCCTCCTCACGAGAACTCACCTGTCTCATGGAAAAGAAAGGAAGAAGGCAGACGAGAAAAGAGGGTTCAATAATCAGGATTCGTGGGGAAAGCCTTAATTGAAAGAAGAGCTCATCAATTACTGGACTGTGTAATTAGGGCTGGAAGAAGGGTGTAGGAACTCATGCCTTTTCTTGTTTTCTCCATAATAAATGGAAGTCTCCTAGCTCCCTTCACACTTTCATGTTTTTGGGGGAGAGGCTTGTTCACATTGACCATGGTAATCCATTGCGGTTGTGTGTTTGTGTGTTTGTGTTTGTACTGAATAGGAAGTGGGAATGACAACAGTAGTTGTGCACAAGAGTGGTCCTACATGTACTCACAGTGGTTTAATGGGGCCTATGTTAACATGCCTGTAATAGGCACCTAACATGTGAGAGGAGAAATAAGTGAGGCAATAGAGAGAAGGATTATGAGGGTTTGGCCGGGCACTATCATCTTCTTTTCCCACTTTGTTCCCCTTTCCCTATATTCTTTCGTAATTTTGTTCATTTTTATAAGTCATTCTTTTTTCTTTCTTTTTGAAGGGGGAATGCCCTGTGCCCCACCTAACTATTACTTACCCACTGATGCTTTAGCTCAACTATGGAATAATCAATAGGAAAAAGATGGCTTGTGATTAGTTATTTAAATATATGAATTGTGGCTTTCATAACCTTCTTTTCATGTTTTTTTTTTTACCCCCTCTCTTCTCTTTCTCTCCTTTGTCTTTTACTCACCAACCTTTTTTTGTTGTTGGGGGGGGGGGGGGGGGGTGTCTTTTGCTCTGACCAATAGCTACCCCACTGTTGCTGTAGCTCAACTATGGAAGAATCAACTGGAAAAAGTTATGTTGTGATCAGTTGTTTGGAGAAGATAATCTGTGTCGGTTGTAGTTGTTATCATCTTCTTTTCTTGTTGCCTTCCCCTCTTCCTTTCTTTCTCTCCTTCACATTTGTTTACTATTCATGTTTTCCAAGGGAGGAGGGGGGGGGGGTATCTCCTGCTCCCACAAATAGTTATGCTATTGATGCTGTAGCTCAACAATGCAAGTGTCCCCCCCCCCCCTCCCCCCAAAAAAGGGTCTTTCTTTCTCTACTTTTCTCCTTCATCTTTTACCATGATTCATGCTCTAGCTCTACTGTCAAAGTATTGCCAGGGATAACGGTGGTACTGTCGATGTGACTGATAGTGGTGTGATTAGCAAATAGGTTAATGATCAACTTTGGAATGTCTTTCATAATTTATGTGTCTCCGTAACCTGTGATCGTGATTTCTAGCTCGATATGTCTTGTCCAATTTGTTTAATTTATGTATTTGTCTATTGGTCTATAAGAACTGACCAGCAGCACAGGCTGAATGGGGCACTTTACAACTAGAATAATACAACATAAAGAAAGTGAGATAGAGAGAGAGACAGAGACAGAGACAGAGAGACAGAGAAAGAGAGAGAGAGAGAGAGAGAGAGAGAGAGAGAAGGGGGGGGGGGGGAGAAGGTGGAGAAAATGCATTAAAAAAATTCCATTTATATTTACATTTACAAGCGTAAGGACTGGAACCAAAGAGAGTTAGCGGGAGAGTCCAAATTAATTCTGTTCTGTGTTTTTTCATCAATTAATCCCCTTCTTGCTCCTAACAGATAAATCATGTTTGTATTTACTCTCTTCTGTCACCACATTTCTTTTTGTAACCCAGCTTCCAAGAGACATTTTCAGTTGTACAATTTTGATAAATGTTGAAGAGGAAGATATACACACTATAATATGAATAAACATTGCAATGCATAAGCCAGTCATTATAGTAGAAGAAAGGTAGAATTTCTTAGTCAATGAAGCTCACACTTTTAAACAGTACAGATATTTGGTGGATTGTTTTTATTTAGAGAGGTTAGATTCTATTTTTTTCAATATTTTTGGGGGGTATCGTCGTATAAAAAATTAACAGCAACGCAGGCTGAAAGTGTCCATTGACAAAGAAGTAATACAATATACCTGTACAATGGCATGTTATCAATAATATTATAAACATATAATGTACAATAAAGTATAATGCAATATAGTATAAACAAGACACATCATGGAAAGAACCATGTGATATCAAAGAGATAGGTAGAGAGTGATAATAGCAAAGAGAGGAATAACCAAGGAGAGGGAAAACAGAAGTGGAGAGGGGGATCTCTCTTGTCTCACAGAATCATAACTTTTCTAATTAACTTTTGAAATTAATGTCCCAAGTTTTTAAACCTTAAAGAGAAGGTTGAGTTCTAGGGAGAGGTATAAATAATTTTGATGACTCCAGAGCCTTGCAGTACACACCTATATGCTACATGCTCAACCTTTCTGATCGATTCCACACTGTTTCTTTCACAATGCAATCGCATGACCAGAACTCAACTTTATTTTTAAAGAGGTATTGTCTGTTTAGAGCAAAAAAGGATTTTAACTCTGAGTAAAAGTACAGAGTTTAATATTCTTCTGGCTGTCAACAGAGGGATTACATTCGTTCACTCCTTCTTTTATTTTGTTAAATTGCAAGGGTATTCTTGCTTCCCTTGTTTTGTATTGGAATTTGATTTTTTTTTTTTTTTTTTTTTGTATAATTATTTTATTTAATGAAGTGGGTTAAATGATATATGTACCTATTAAAAGCACATAATTGATTTTGCATTAATTCTGTTCTGTATTTATTTTCCCTTTTTAGATCTTATTGTAGTCATATCTTCTACTGCCGTAATGTGCTTTGGATCAGAAGGTCAAGTATTTGCTGCATCAGCAATCAGGTAGGTCAGAGGTAAAAGGTCGAAATGTAAGTTTCATGCATGGTCTGAGTATTGCAATGTCTGTTGGAAGCCAGAAGGGAGGTAACGCTGTGTAAACGATAAGATGTAATATATGCACATCTTGTCTCAAACAAATGAAAAAGAGGTGGTTGAAAAGGTATTTAAAGAAACGTGTAAAGACAGTTTTGAAACCCTGGTCATTTTATCTGTAATTTCAATGAAACTTCAGTGTAAAGTTCTTTAATGTAGAGGCCTTTAAACCAAGGCAAGAGTTTCTAAATACACAGCAATACCTTATCAGTATGTGACCTATGGCAGTTGTAATACATCATAGTGATTTATCGTCTGAAATGGCAGACTAGAACAGCCCAATTAAGATGATTCATTGGTTGAAAAGCCTCAATGCTCCTTCTGTAGTCTTTGTATGCAGGCAGTGTGTAATTTACTGTCGTAGGTCAGAAAAAGAATGGATCGTCTGCAATGCAACAGGTCTATAAACAACATGACCAGTATGCTTCTAACACTTTTACAGCTTAATAAGTTTGATGCTAGTTTTACATCATATTTGCTATTCTTTTTGTGCATTATGTATAAATCTGGTAACAGTTTCTTCTTTCCCCTTTCACTATTTCTTCATCTTTCTATACTTCTTCTATTTCCACTTACTCAAAGTAATGTGCATGCACCTTTTCACTCAACTATCTACTTCTACTCTTTCTAGTTTCTTTATTTCAACTTCTAATATAAAGTTATATATATCCTATACTATTTTCACTTCTACTAGTTTCAGTTTCTAGTATTTTCCAATTTGCTGTTTCTAATTGTTCTCTATCTACTTGTACTATTTCCACTTTTTTCTGTTTCTACTTCTAACAATCATTTTGTTTGTTGTAACTGTTTCTATTTCTATTTCCACTTTTTCACTTCTACTATTTCCACCTTTTCCCTTGTACTACTTCCGCTTCTAATATTTTCAAGTTGATAAATGTTACTTCTACCTTTTCTTCTTCTGGTACTTCCACTTTTTGCTTCTACTTCTACTTCTTCTACTTCTAATTTGTTGACTGTTGCTATTTCTAGTCCTACCCTTTTCACTTTAAGATCATTTTTGTTCCTACTTCATGATTGTACTATGTTTCATTTAGTTGCTATTCTATAATTTTTACTTATATTTACAGATTCTTATTTATCATGAATGACTGACTTGTCATATATGCTGTTTGGCAATCCTTTTGTGTATGCAGTCTGAAATGTCAGACTAACCTTCCACATAATTGAAGTGATAAATTGTATCCTGATTGATCCTAACCTAGTTGTCCAACCATGTAGATTCACCCCCGCATTCAGACTACTGCAATTCCGGGGACCTTACCTTTTTTTCTAGTCTGAATACCGGTATCATATAAAGAAAAACGTATAATAAAACGTTTTATAGCATGTTTGCTTTTAAATGCTGCTTGTAAGTGTTGGCTTGCATGGTGATGTAGATATACAGTAGGCTTGCAGGTGCACCATGTGAGAGAGAGAGAGAGAGAGAGAGAGAGAGAGAGAGAGAGGATTGAGGAGTCTTGAAAAGGACTCTGACTCGGTAATCTTTCTTGGGGGTGTGTAGTCCTGAAAAGGACTGTTTGTTATCTTTCTTAGCTTATAGTTCTAAGGAGAACTATAGCGCTTGGAGAGGATGAGTGGCTTGACGTTTCGAGCAGGTTGACTATCCGTCGTCAGGAGTGTACATGGTGCACCCGCAAGCCTACTGTATATTTTTGCTTTTGTTTCAAACAAAAACTCAGTAAAGAATCAGGCTCTTGTTTTAGTCGTAACGTCTTTTTGTGCGGTAAAACTGGGCGGGTTTCTTGTGAGCTCTCTCTGATGATTGGCCAGCAGTCATGTCAGTTGACCTCTTGAAGACTAGTGTACGTTCCTGTACACAATGTTATTTATCTGGGGGGTGTTTCATAAAGCTGTTCGTAAAGTTACGCATGACTTTATGAATGACTTGTATATGAAGTGCCAGATAGGATGCCCAAATTTTTTTCTGAAATTTCCAATAACCTCAATTGAATTATGGCAAAAAATATACTTTGCATTAAGAATGGTTGTTATAATAAGAATGTTAATCTACATCTGCATAGTTCAACTTAATAAATAATAATCAATAATGATTGAGCATCCCATTTGGCTTTTCATATACAAGTCGTTCGTAAAGTCATGAGTAACTTTAGGAACAGCTTTATGAAACACCCCCTGGTCTTTATATCCCATTTGCTGTACATGTATAATGATTCTGTATACAACGTTTCTTTATACGAGTTTCATGTTAGCGTGTGAACAGGGCATCAGTTTGGTTCCGCCCCATTGCGTATTGTCTTGCTCTTAGAAAATGTAAAAAGGAGCAATAGCTATTAACGTCAGATGCATGCCTAGATGGTGCATGAATAAATTTTCCCCAGTCATTAATTAATCTTGTACATGTATGGATAGAAAGTAGGTCACGGATATGACCTCCACTGTTTTTAAATTAGGTCACTAGTAATTGTTTTATTTTACAAAGTATTGTATTAAACATGCGTTTCATTTATCCTCGAGACAATCATTTTCCCAAGTCATTAATTAATCTTGTAAATGTACATCGTATGTATAGAATGCAGTTCATAGATATGACCCCCACTGCTTCTATAGGTCATTAGTAACTGTTTTATTTGTGTTTTTTGTAATAAGTTGCTATTTTGCAAAGCCTTTGTCATGCACAAAGCAGACCTTCCAATCAGTGCCTATTGTTTTCCACAGAATTACACTTGTGGCAAATGAATAACTGTACAAAGAGGTGATGATGCAACCAAAGTCTTTAGAATTCCATCCATACAGCAGTATGAATTAATATGAAAGTACTAAAGCATAACTACATATACTGTAGTTCTACCATCTAGTACTTGCATGCTAATACGGCTACAGGGCTTCCACTGGTAGCTGAGTTACATTTTTTTTTTGCATTTGAAGAAAAAGAAATGTTAAAGTAGTTAGATATAATTTAAAAAAAACTTGCAAATTTTTTGTTTTTAAAAATGTGTAATGTTACACTGCTACTTTTGCTTTACAGATATAATACCCGGCGTAATACATGTTCATAAATATAACCTTTCCATGAGTATCTTATCATTTAATAACCTCCGCCTCATTAACTTATATCTCCTAGACCGCTAGCAGCTGAAGTGTGTTGATCTTAGTGGGTCTAATGCTAACACCCCCATGTGCTTTGGTCCATTAATGATATCTACCCTGTCTTAAGGTAGACCGAGAGATGCGTTTAATTTCCCTGATGATTTACTCCCTCGATACGACTTAGCGGAAATGCACTGAAATATCTCGGCCCATTCAGACTATGGGAACTTCATGCACCACTCATAAAGAAATGTGGTATAAAGAAGCATTGTATATAGCAAGCAGGTGTACACACTTACAAACTAAGTATGGTGTAAAGAAACATGGTATGGAGAAACTAGTTTAGGATAGGTCAGTTGACATATCCCCCCATAGTAGTAAAAGTAGTAATGATAGTAGTAGTAGAAGTAGTAGTAGTATCAGTTCATGCTCTCGATATGCCTCGTCTAGAATAGTGTTTTCATGTGATACATCATTCACATGAGAAGTGCAATCAGATTCTTTATTGAGTTTTTCTTTGAAATGATACTCAATTCTGTACTATACACAAAGTTCCATTTATATGATTTTTCATACTATAGAACAAATGTTCACATTAGGAGTAAATTTAGTTTTGAAATGATGCTCACTTTGAACTTTGTTTAAAAGATGTTCAAACTAAAAACGATATCTAGAGTAGGCTTGCGGTTGCGAGAGAGAGGATTGGTAAGTCCTGAAAAAGGACTCTCAATAATTTTTCTTTCTTGAGTGTGGTAGTCCTAAAAAAATATCATTACTTATTGTGGAGCTATTGTTTTGTTTTGTTTTTGTGTACAATGAATTTTGGTAGTGCGAATGGGGTCCATTGAGCTACCAGCGGAATGCATCATAAACACACAGAGATGATCATGATTACTTTATCAATAATTAAACCAGATTCATCATGAAAACTAATAATGGTTAGTAGCTAGCACACTAAGGAGAACATGGGAAAGATGGGAACATACAGCAATAATGCAGCAATGAATGATTCAGTGGTTTTCTTGATGAGATTTAAAAATAAAAATCATTACAGACTAAAAAATTATTACTGACGTGAATTAAGCAGGAGGTTGAGGGGCGGGAAGTAATATAAAACATTGAATGTTAAATTTTCCTAATGAAGCTACTGGAACTAATATATTTTTCATAATAACTACTGCTTCTATTTCCCTTACTTTTTCTCAAGTCGTTTGGAGGTGCATACACAATTTGATATCATAAAATAATGTTCACTATATGGGACAGAATTGCATTATTACTATTCTGACTACTTCTACAACAGAAAAACAACAACTACTACTACTACTACTATTACTACTATTACTACTACTTCTACTACTACTACTACTACTACTACTACTACTACTATTACTACTACTACTACTACTACTACTACTACTACTACTACTACTACTACTACTACTACTACTACTACTACTACTACTGCTACTATTTTAATTTCTACTTCTACTACTACTACTTCTACTACTATTACTTCTACTACTTCTACTACTACTACTACTACTACTACTACTACTACTACTACTACTACTACTACTATTACTTCTACTACTACTACTACTACTACTACTACTACTACTACTTCTACTTCTACTACTACCACCACCACCACCACTACTACTACTACTATTACTTCTACTACTACTACTACTACTACTACTACTACTACTACTTCTACTTCTACTACTACTACTACTACTACCACCGCCACCTTCATCACCACCACCACTAGTACTGCTACAGTTAATTCTTTAAGTAAGAGTACTTCTATACTACACCTATACCTCTGATAGTTTTATACTTTTATTGCTTTGTTGATTTTATTCTCAGTTATATTTTCTTTGAATATCTTTAAATGATAATGTATATTTGTAGTTTTGGTGTTATTTGTAAAGTTATAATTGATTCTTGGTGCATTTAAAATGTTTGCTTTATTCATACTGCAGATTACTCTAAATGTCCCATTTGATTGATATTTTTTCAGGGGTGTGCGTTTTCTTCAAATTCTTCGTATGTTGCACATAGACAGACAAGGAGGAACATGGAGACTTCTTGGTTCAGTAGTATTTATTCATCGGCAGGTAAGGGACTTACATCTCCTTAATGTCCATATAAGTCATGCTAAATCACCACAGGAAATTGTCATAAGGAAAATTAGTTTTAACTTGGCAAATGAAGAAAAAAATTATGTTAGATCAGCAGAGAAAAATTCCTCATAACTATATATATGTGCAAAAAAAATTTAAAAAATCATTGCACTTTTTGCAGAAACCATTTAATTATTCTCTAATGTACAATTCTCAACTGTAAAACCAGTAACCTAGCATGTTGTTCTGCAAGAAGACCTTCATAATTGAATATAATATTGATGCAAGGATGTGAGATGCCAAATTTCATGCTTTAAAATTAATGTGTGGTGATTGTTTACACTTCTGGTGGTACAGAAATTGTTGCTATATTTTATTTATTTTCTTTGTTTCTTTCAGGAGCTGATAACCACATTATACATTGGCTTCCTGGGGCTCATATTTACCTCTTATTTTGTATATCTTGCTGAGAAGGATCATATAGATGCTAAGGGCATTTGTCAATTTGAGACTTATGCTGATGCTCTATGGTGGGGTGTGGTAAGAAATATTATCATTTCATTAATGACTTATTGAACCATTTGGAAAGAGTGCTATACTTTTAACCACCTTTCCATGTATTGAATTTACATTGATTAATGTCAGACATACCTATTTCCATTAATTTCAACATTCTGAATGCCATTGCTACTCCTTTCCATGTATGAATATACATTTAACAACTAAATTATCTATATCCTTACCAAGTCTTGTAATATATGTGAATAATGATTTGTCCCAATTTATGTTTGTTAAGAATGTGACAACAAAGGCTCTAATTCAGCCAGTCCACCTTTCATTCTTGAGTGACAAAAATACACAAATATATGAAATATACAAGGATATGAATAATTTAGTTGTTAACTGTACATGTACATAAGTGCATTTAGCCATTTAGAATTGATCTCTTCCCTGGTGCCTTCAACTGATTCATTGAGGCTGTTCACACCGCAATCAGATAGCGCGGTCTATCGTAGCACCCCCTTTTTTCTAGTGCGTGCTAGACCGCGCTATCTCTCGTGGACCACCCCCAAGAGGTGCTCCAGTGGCACGCCGTTTTGGCTCGCCGTGGCTCGCTGTTGGGCGGACCGAAACGACGTTGTACCTTCCAAACCGCAGAGAAAGCGCGATCTAGCGCGCGCTATCTCTGCCGGTGTGAACAGCCTCACTGACTGACGGGTGTACACCCTGGGACTAATCACAAATTGATCAGAATTCTTGTTTCTCTGTTTACATGTTGAGAGCACCAGCCATCTGATCAAACAGTCTTTGAAACTGATAGATCACCGTTGTCTTGCCGTTAGGGACTCTCCATTTCCCTTTACCATCAAACATTTGTGCTTCTGGTGTTGTATATTGCTTTTCACTTTAAAGCAGTGTCGTCTCTAAGATCCATTCCCTCCCTGTTATTCTTCCCCTGTCTTTCCACTCTGCCTCCCTCTGTTTATTTTCTCTTGCACTCACTCACTCACTCTTTGTGACTCATGTTGTGCTGGGTCTTTTCTACCCCTGTTTCTTGTTCTTTCTCTCTCTCTCTTTCCCTCCAATCCCATGAAATATATTTCACTTTTCAGCTTAGTTATACTTTTTGCTGATATCCTTTTTTGCCCTCTTTCTATTCCTCCATATGTGTTGTCTCTCACACTGTTTTGAACTCATATCTTCCCCCTTATTTGTAAAGCGCTTAGAGACATTTGTATTAAGCGCTATATAAAAATTAATTATTATTATTATTATTCCTCTCCTTTGCCCTCCCTCTCATATGCCATCTCTGTTTCTCACTCCTATGCTTATTTCCCACTTTCCCCCTGTCAATTGCTTTTTTCACTTCAATGCATATTTCTCCCCTTTGTACTACACTCTGTTATCCCCTCTCTCTTTCTCTATCTTTCTATTTATCCTCTGTTTCTCCATGTTTTGTGTCCCTCAGCATAAGTTATAAATATTTCATATATATTTTCCTCAGTCCCATCTTTTTCTGCCTGTCTTTCTTTCTTTTTCTTTCTTAGCATACCCCTCCCTCTCTCTTTCTCTCTCTCTCTCTCTCTCTATATATGTATATATCTCTCACCTTATTTAACTATGGCTTAGCCCACAAAGATGTTTTCTGCTCTTCAATCAATGTATACTTGTAGCAAGAACCTTGTAATACCCCTCATAGAACACCAAGTCCTGCAGTTGCAACAGAATTTGAACCTCAAACCCCTTGTCTCAGAATAAATAAATTTTGTTTGTTTTCAAAACTGGTTTACCATATCAACTATCTCTTTTGTCCTATTCTCCAAAGCCTTAATCCACTCATGAGCCTCTCGACTTGTAGAACAGTAAGACACTAAGTCACAATGGAATCTGAATGCTAAACATTGTCTTCAAATCACTTGATTTTGTTTGTTTTTAAAACAGGTAACTGTGACAACCATTGGCTATGGAGACAAAGTGCCCAATACCTGGTTGGGCAAGATGATAGCTTCCTGTTTCTCAATATTTGCAATATCTTTCTTCGCTTTACCGGCGGTGAGTATTGTATACCTGCAATATCTTTCTTCGCTTTACCGGCGGTGAGTACTGTATTCCTGCAATATCTTACCGGCGGTGAGTACTGTATACCTGCAATATCTATCTTCGCTTTACGGCGGTGAGTACTGTATACCTGCAATATCTTACCGGCGGTGAGTACTGTATACCTGCAATATCTTACCGGCGGTGAGTACTGTTTACTTGCAATATCTTACCGGCGGTGAGTACTGTATACCTGCAATATCTTACCGTGGTGAGTACTGTATACCTGCAATATCTTACCGGCGGTGAGTACTGTATACCTGCAATATCTTACCGGCGGTGAGTACTGTATACCTGCAATATCTTACGGCGGTGAGTACTGTATACCTGCAATATCTTACCGGCGGTGAGTACTGTATACCTGCAATATCTTACCGGTGGTGAGTACTGTATACCTGCAATATCTTACCGGCGGTGATTACTGTATACCTGCAATATCTTACCGGCGGTGAGTACTGTATACCTGCAATATCTTACCGCGGTGAGTACTGTATACCTGCAATATCTTACCGGCGGTGAGTACTGTATACCTGCAATATCTTACCGGCGGTGAGTACTGTATACCTTAAGCTTAATATCTTAAGCAGAGCAGGGCCCTGTTTCATGGAACTTGTTATGAATAACATGCTGCAATAACTGTTTTATAAGCTCCTCAAATAACTGCATTAGATTGTGAGCTGTGTTGTCATTGAAATTTGAAATTTGTTAATGATAGCAATTTATGAAACAGGTATGTATCAGGTTTGTATTGTCCCAATACCTGTGATTAAGTTATAACTCGGTATTCTTATGATTGACATTTTTGCAATGGTGATAATGAGATGACAGTACAGATACCATGTCAGTGTGTGTATGGCAGCCACTATGGCTGTAAGAAGACAATAAATAGAGAAAGAGACAGAGAGAGAGAGAGGGAGAGATTGGGGTAATGAGAGAGATAGAAAGAAGGAGAGATAGGGAGAGAGAGGGGGATAATGAGAGAGAGAGAGAAAGAGAAAGAGAGAGAGAGGGGGGGGGGGGGGGGGGGTAATGATGATGATTGGAGGAGGAAGCGGGCATGATATGCTGCAGAATAAGAAGAAACAAAAGATTGAGAAAGAAGAAAGAGGACAAGATCATGATCTATCTATGTTAGATGTGGATATACTCAGACTGGTGACTGTTCTTATTATGCTGATTAATGTTAGAGGGAAAAGATTATCCGTAGATACAAATTGTTGGTTTATTCATCCTGTAATGATTAGAATATCAACTTACATAATACCACAAGGCTGTTTTATACCATGTATCCCTTAAAGCCTATCTGCACTAGTTTGGTCAGGAGGGATTAGACCTCCCCGCATGGTCACTGACAGGTGGATATCTCATCAAATCAGCTCTCAACTAACATGGGACCATGGGGGACCAACGGTCACCGCTATATACTATATAGAGGGCGCAAGTAGCTATAAGTAGTGCAGTGGGGCTTTAAAGGGACTCAGTAACATAGTTCAGATGAGAGATTCCTAAATTCTCCCAACCTTATTATCATGATTAAATTAAATTTTAGGTGACTGTAAATCATCACATGAATTGGCTTCATATACCATTCCAAACATTTGGGTTTTGAAAAAAAAAAATTAAGAGCCTGTTTTATGTCTTAATAATAATTCAAAAATTGGTTGGGAGAATTTACTGTTAGAGGGAGTTATATATTGCTGCTGTCAAAGAAAACCATGAATATATTTGTGATTTGAGCATATTTCAGGATTTTGTGCATGTTAGAGGGTTAGTACAGTAGAAGGAATATGATAAGTAACATTTCATACAAAAATTAGGCAGTTTTTTTCATCAACTTTCAACAATGTGACCGAATCACTTAAAGGGTTGTATGCCACGGTTTACCGTTGTGTTTTTGTTTTGTTTACTTAATGAAATGCAAGTTGGGATTCAAAGAGTACTTGCGCACAACAAAGCTACGTGTTATAACAAAGATGTAAACAAATTAAAATACAGTGTGCTTAAGTAACCTTTAAAAATAAACCTGGGGTAAACCGTAGCAGTAATCTGCAGCATATTGTGAACAGGCCTATACGTGGCCATTATAGGTGCTTAAATTTTTTTTTTGAATCGCCCTTTGCAACCGACCCAAAAATCTATGGTCGGCTTTTAAAAAATGTTTATTTTTTAAAACTGTTTTTTAGAGAAAAAAGTGTATTAGAGCATTCAAATCTGAGAAATGTCAGCCGAAAGAGGGAGAGAAAAAAAAAAAAAAAATTCTGACCGACCGACTGACCCATGTTTTGGCACCTAAAGGGCAAGACAACATCTTTTGTTTGCTAAGCATTATAGAAAGGTTTAAATATATTTTTCATAAATCCAAGCTTTGTGGGAAAACCACAACAGCTACAGTATACCTGATTTCCTAGAATACCAAACATTATGAATTCTCATTTGAAGCTCATTAGGGCTAATGAGGAGAGCATGTCTGTATTATTGCCACCTGTGTATAGGGACCATGCTTTCTGCTTCTCTTAGGTGGTCATTATAGAAAGGTTTAAATGCATGACAATTGACCATACTTTTCAGTAATTGAAGTCATGGGCTATAACTGTAAAAGCTCCAATCTAGTAATGCGTCACATTTCTTCCCATTAGCGCATTGTACAAGAGGTTTTGCAGGATGATATAATGAGTTTACATTCTATCCTGATCAGTGCTAATACGAGTTGCTAGGAACTGCAAGATGAGGCGTGAAGTATGTATCCAAAAGGTACACAGATTAATGTGTTTACCTGAATCTCATTTTCTCTGCCAATTGGTAGTGTCTAGCTGCCTTCGAGTGGGAATAGTACATCAAATGATCATGATGTAAATGTAGGCCTATCAGGTGAGGCATTTATAGATAATAGTATTGATTCCAGGAATTCCTGAGTCCTTGATCCATGACATTTGAAAATACACCATTAAAAGAATCCTTGGAGTTAGTGATGAAGAACTATATAAAGAGCTCTTATTGAAATACAATCAAAGGGATGTTATTACAAAAGATAAATGCATAATGTTAGTCTGCAGTTATAGATGTTGTTTTCTGAACTCGTCTGTATTATGCGCTATACAAGAACTGAACTATTATTATTATTATTACTTAACCATCGTGCTTGTCATCAGTTGGCCTTTATTCCTTTACAAAGATTAAAGGGGAAGTCCACTCTGATGTTAAGTTGCATCTAATAAAAGCAGAACAAATAGAGAAACAAATAAGTGAAAGTTTGAGCATAAGCAGACGACATCCTGTAACTAAAGAACATATTTTCAGTGTAATTATTTCTCAATTATAAGGGATTGATTGATTTTAAACATTAAAGTATTTCAGACCATTTTAAAAGGGAAGTGATGCTGATGATTATAAGTATAATATTTTGCTTAGAAATATTCAGGGCGAGGATAAATGATTGATTAAAGAAACCACCAATTTTCAGCTTCTACTAAAAGCAACTTAATATCAGGGTGGTCTTTTCTTTTAAGGAAGGTGTTCCTCAATTAGTGCAGGCCTGATATTTGTTGACTAGTCCATGCCAGATAACATGCGAGTGGTGATCGAGGTTGTTCTGAGATGCAAGAATTGTTCCATATTATATACAAACTGAATCCCTAACATCAACCATGGACCAAACTCTATACCTAACTCTAATTCAATCCCTAAACCCTATCCTAAGTCTTACCATAACCCAAACACTACACCTTACCCCTAACCCTTTTACCATAAAACGCAATTACATCTATAAGCTCAATCCTATACCTTAAATGGATGGAATCAAGCTTGGCACAATCATCACCGAAGCAGACGTTGGAGCACCACTGCAACATTTTCCAATACTGTTTTTTTTTCATCTGTACCTGTACCCTATACTTATCCAGAAACTCACCCTTGAATCTAATTTCAACCCTAAATTTGCACCTTCATGTAGATTAATGTCTTTAACAATCTAAGCACCTGTCATGTGAGTCAATGCCGGAGCACTGCTGAGGCGTTGATGTGATTTTCCAAAACTGCCTTTTCTCATCTATACCTTCACCAAACCTTACCCAATCCAACCTAACACCCAAGTTCGCTCCCAACACTAAACCAACTTGTCCATCATTGACCAGTCAAATTTGGAACAATATTGTCAGATCACCCTATTGCAATATGACTGTAACAACTCAATAAGGCCTTTGATTGATCCTAAATCTATTTGGGAGATATCAGATTGCAATCCAAAGGCTCTTTGACCCGGCACTGCAGGCTGAACATGCATGATAATAGTCTGTAATAGTGTGGAAATGAGAGTGATCTGAGTAACAATCGAAGGCCAAGCTTTGATTGATAGAGCAATCTGCCTAACTAATCACGCTAGGATGGCCGTGCCACAGGGCCACGGTGTATCGCAGCACCCATCTTAATCACTAGTAATGAAATGGACAATGCCAAAGATCTTCACAAATTGGCAATGAAAATGGCTACCACCCTGACCTGTATTCAATGTAGTCTTCTTCCTAAGAGTTTTCATAATACTTACTTGATTTATTTTAAAATCTTATAAAGTTATAAAGTTTATGATTGTACTCCATCAATTGCAAATTGGTATTTCTGTGATCTATTTGTTTTAGCCCCTCGACCATTTGCTTTGTGTCCTGATTTTTGTATATATAATAAATTTGACTCTTTTTTTTGTGAAGGAATAGATGTATTTCACAACAGGATTGCACATAAACATGCATAAAATTATGTCCAGGTTTTATGTATGAATAATGTTTTCTTAAAAGAAAATAGAGCTGTTTAAATGGATAAGGTGCTAAAATAATTACAGGGTTGCCAATTTAGATCTCATAAAAGACAAATTCAAAAACTCAGAAGCCATTCTTATTAATGCTTGCATATTTACCAAATCATCCTCATTACAGGTAATCCATCAGAACTTGAACACATGCAGAAAACTTAATCCTCAGATTTGCCTTATATATACATCCAATGTATTATAT